CACACACCACACACACCACACACACACACACACACACACACACACACACACACACACACACCAGGCAGTGGAACTTTATGGAGTTTCTTTCTGTTCTTTTTGGTTTAATTTTCAAGGAGCTGTTTGCATGTGGAGAATGTTTGCCAGGTATTTATTTACGTTCTCTTGGGGAAGCTGAAGAAAGGAAGGTGAGGTTAATCTGCAAAAAGAATGTCTTTGGAAAGGAAGGGGAAAAGCAAAGGAGCACATTGCAAACATTGGTAATGATGATTTTTGAAGACACTTTTCAGGGTTGATACAGGCACTAGAAAACTCAAGGGTGAACTCTTTGGGAAAGTTAATGGAGAATAACATACTCTATCACTTGTTTTAGGTTAGGATGAGACCCCATGCAATCAAGGACTGAAAAGGCATGATCAGAGTTTATGCTGTAATCATGTAAAACTTAAATAACTTGTATTTTACTCATACTAATGATATACATAATAGGTATTTCATCTGTAACAATTTTCTATAATTAGCAAAAATACATATATATACATGAATGAAATTATTATAATCCTTCCCAATTGTGCATTCCCTTTATAAGAAATGCTTCAATAATTGCACTGAATGTAAATGGACTAAATGCATCAATAAAGAGACAGAGAGGCAGAATGGATTAAAAAACACGATCCACCTATATGCTGCCTGCAGGAGACACACTTTAGACTTAAGGACACAGACAAACTAAAACTCAAAGGATGGAAAAAAATATATCAAGCAAACAACAATCAAAAAAGAGGAGGAGTGGCAATATTAATCTCTGACAAAATAGACTTTAAAGTAAAATCTACCACAAAGGATAAGGAAGGACACTCTATAATGGTTAAAGGGTCAATACACCAGGAGGATGTAACCATAATAAATATTTCTGCACCCAATGACAGGGCTCCAAAATATATAAAACAAACTCTAACAGCATTGAAAAGAGAGATAGACAGCTCCACAACTTCAACACAACACTTTTGGTGAAGGATAGAACATCCAGAAAGAAGCTCAATAAAGACACGGAAGATCTAAATGCCACAATCAACCAACTTGATCTCATAGACATATACCGAACACTCCACCCAACAGCAGCCAAGTATACTTTCTTTTCCAACGCACATGGAACATTCTCCAGAATAGACCACATATTAGGCCATAAAGCAAGCCTTAACAGAATCCAAAGCATCAAAATATTACAAAACATCTTCTCTGACCATAAAGCTATAAAAGTAGAAATCAATAACAGAAAAAGCAAGGAAAAAAAATCAAACACATGGAAACTGAACAATACTTTACTCAAAAAATACTGGGTTATAGAAGAAATTAAGGATGGAATAAAGAAATTCATAGAAACAAATGAGAATGAAAACACATCCTACCAGAACCTTTGGGACATAGCAAAAGCAGAGCTCAGAGGTCTGTTTATAGCAATAAATGCACACATCCAAAAAGAAGAAAAGGCCAAAATCAAAACATTAACCCTACAACTCAAACAAGCAGAAAGAGAGCAGCAAAAGAAGTCCTTGGGCGCCAGAAGGAAGGAAATAAGAATTAGAGCAGAATTAAATGAAATGGAGAATAGAAAAACAATTGAAAGAGTTAACAAGACAAAAAGCTGGTTTTTTGAAAAGATCAACAAAATCAATAAACAATTGGCCAAACTGACAAAAGAAAAAGAAATGCTAACATATGTGAATTTATTTCTTATATACATTTTTGGTAACTTTGAAAATATTTCAGTTCTCATATTCTTGAATTGCAACCCATTCTTGTCAGAGATTTTTATAAAGGAACTTGGATCTAGAATTAGAAAAGCTTGGAAAGTTACATAACAAGGGTTAGAGCAGGATTTGAAGAGCAAATCTCAACTCCATTCTTACTAACTAGATAAACTTGCTCATGTTTCTTAATCTCTCTAGCCCCAGATTGCCCATCTGTAAAACAGAGATGATCAGAATTAAGTGAGATAAAGTATCAACCACATAAGCATTCAGTTAAAGGTAGCTGTTAGTAAGTGGGAGTGGTCTTCAATGGGAAAGCAATGGGAGTCAGTGAAGGCCTTCGTGCTACCTGAGTTCCATATGCCCATCCTCCATCTGCATCTCATCAGCAGACCCTTGAATGGCATACCCATAAGCTCTTGTTTCCTTGTCCCCAATGCTAAGAGGACACATTGCCAGCCCCGAAGAGCCCAAGGGCTGTGGAAGATCAGCCTAGCCCAAGCCATCAGGGCTTCGTTGGAAAGGAGGTAGGGACAGAGGGTGGAGCTGGGCTCTGACAAGTCAGGCTGTGGCCCTTGGGAGGGTGGGCAGTTGGGCTGCGGAAGGCAGTGCCATCCCCCTTTTCATTGTAGCTGACACTTCTACTCTAAAACATAAAATGGCAAAATCCAATGAATTTTAGACTGAGAGAGGCAGGTTCTAATACCTGAAAAGGGGCAGGGATGAGTCTGGAGCAAAAGCAACTTCAGTTCTTGACCACTGAGGTAGAGTCATTTTCAAACCTCAAGCCATTTCTCTCCATGACTTACGCTTGTCCCTGTGCATTTTCTTCATCTATTTCCCATGTATAGGAGGCTCTGAAGTCAAGCAGACAGGTTCAAGTCTCATTTTTCTACCTCTTACTAGTTTTGCAATTAATTTCCTCATCTGAGAAATGTATATAATAATTACACTCATCTTAGGCAAACAGTTAAGCACTCAACTA